AGGGCGCCCAGCAGACCCCGCAGGTTTGCGGGGTGCCCCGTCGGGGCTGTGGGTCCCCCGCGGGCTGCGCGCCGGCTGCGGGGGGAGCGTTTGCTGAGCTGCGGTTTACAGAGGCCGGTGGAGACTCAGGATTTCCATGAAGATGGAATTTCTGTGGCCCTTGGGGGAGAGGAGGGATGAAGGGATGTGAGGAGGGAGGGCTGGGGGGGCTGCTGGCCCTGCACCCCCCCAGAGAAGCGGGCAGGCAGCTGAGCAGGTCGCCCATCTCCCAGTACCTCCAGGCAAGCTGCTCCTCTGCTCCAGGGTGCCTGGGCCCCCCAGTCCCGCCGCTCGAACCCCAGCCTGTCCGGGATGTTGAGACCGTGTGGCTGATGGCTGCAGCGTCTGCACATTCCTCCAGGGTCTTTCCCTCCCGGCAGCAGCTGGTTGTCCCCGGGGCTGCCCCTCCAGAGCCCAGGGGAGCCCGGAGCAGAGCAGGCAAGTCCCTGGCAGAGTCGAGGGCTCCGGATGGTGTTAGGAACTGCAGAGAGCTGTACTGTGACCTGCCCTGGCCTAGGGGGTGACGGCGGGACAGGAGGGCATCAGGCAGCGCGCTGGGGCTGGACCCAGGGTCAGCAGGGGAAGGGGTGGCTCAGCCCCAGCGAGCCCTCGGTGCTCTGCCACAGCTGACACCCCGGAGAGCCCCGGGAGCCCCCTGTGCTGCCCATAGCACCGTCCCTGTCGCTGCCGGGGAGGGGGGCAGGTGGTGGGGTGGCACAGACAGGCATGCTGCCAGCGGGAGGTGGGTGGTGTTGTGAGGTGTCACTGAGCCTGACGGGATGTCTGGGCTCCTGTGGTGGCCCTGGGCTGCACCCTGGTCCTTCTGAGACCAGTTCAGGTGGGGAGCCCTGCTGCCTTCCAGACCTTGGCTGTGCTCACCTCGGAGATCTGAGCCCATGGGGTCCCTGCAGGCCACCGAGCGGGGTGGTGGTGTTGGGGCTCCCCCAGCTCCTGCACACACGCTCCAGGAAGCAGCAAGAACGAAGCAGGCCAGTCCAGGCAGCTGGGATTGCGAAAGGGCCAGCGTTGGGCTGTGCGTTCTGGGGCCCTGGGGAGAAGGGGCGGAAGGAGCCCAGCGCCTGAGCCATGGGACCCACCAGACCTCCTCCTGCCCCGAGTGCTGGGGACACAACCCCACGTTCTCAGGGATGTCCTGGCGCGGGCCTCGGCAGAGTGTGACCGTGTCACCCCTTAAACTTCCCAAGGATAAACAGAGGGAGCTTCTTCCTCCTAGTGCTGGCGGGTTTCCCAGGTCTTCGGTCGCTTGTGCTGCTCTTCTCTGAGTCCTTCCAGTGTCAGTGCCTGGGTTGCTCCGTGTCCTTGTGTGTGGTGTCCAAGGAAGCTGCTGAGAGAGTGTGTTCCTGTGGGGCCCGCTGTGCCTGGCCCTTCCCCACTGCTGCAGCCTGGGATGTCGTCCCCATGCCGCAGGGATGCCCGGCACTCGCTGCCCTAATGCAAGCTGATCGAACACGCCAACCTGCCAGGGGCCCTGGTTCGTCAGGAGCTGCCCCTTTCCTGGGGTCTGTTTGCTGTTCACTGGGGTTTCACTGGAGCAGACTGGTGTCCCTCGGAGTGCCTGGGGGGTGCCAAATGGCACATCAGATTTGAACAGTGCCTGGGGGCCACCAGCCCCCCATGGCTCTGGGCACCCCTTGTCGGTGCCACTCACCCCTCCTGGCACAGCCGAGCCTCTGGAGGGGCAGCGCCTGTGCGAAACACAGCTGGGGGAGCAGAGTGATGGTGGGAGCAGCGCAGGCTGGGAGGGCTGCGGGCGGGGGTGGCTCTGTCCTGGGGGCACAGGAGCTAACATCATCCGCAGGGCTGGTGTGGGAGCAGGTCGAGCAGTGCTGTGTGGGGTTGCCCTCTGTGCCGAAGGGTTCCCGTGCCCTCTGCCGTGCGGGGCTGATGCTGGAGGGGTGTGGGAGCCCCGGGGTTTCAGCCCCGCGGGGCTCTCGGATGCCCCGCCAGCTGTGCCGCGGGCTGGGAGGTGGCTCAGGCCCTGCACAGACCCGGCCGGGACATTCCTGAGGTTTCCTGGGCTGCTCTCCGGCTCCCACGCCCGGTGCTTGCTCAGGGCCAGCCTGTCCTCCCGAGCCCTTTCCACTTGCAGCCCGAGTGCTGCCGCGTGTCTGAGCAGATTCGGACTCACACGCCGGGGCCGGCACGTTCAGCGCGGCACGGCACGGCCCAGAGCAGCGCTGCACGGGCTGGCCGGCGGCTCTGGCAGGAGCCCCGGTGCGAGAGGAGGTGGCCCCTGGCTGGAGGCAGCTGGCAGCAGGACAGCCGGGGAACTGGGGAGGCGAGGCCAGGCAGGACTGTGCCCGGCTGCTGTCCAGGATGTGCGGCGGCAGCAGCCGGGGGACATGCCTGGAACCCCCGTCGCTGCCCCAGGCGACTCCCGGCCCCCTGCCCTGCCCGGTACCCAGGCTGTCTGCACCTCTGCCCTTCGCCCTCACCGGGGCACGTGCGTGGTTCCTGCAGATTCCTGCTCCTCTGGGAGCACCAGAGCTCCTGTGCCCTCCCGCCATGCTGCTGGTGGCCCCTGTGCCAGTCAGGCAGGAGCTGTTGCCCTTGTGCTCTCGGCAGGGACGGCTTGTGCAGGCTGGGCAATGGGGGCACCTTCCCCTGGCCAGAGGTGGGAAGGAGGTGGGAAATGCCTCTTGGGTCTCTGGTGCTGGGTGATCAGCCCCTGCAGGGTGGAGGGACCCCCCAGCCCGGGCACAGATCTGGTGGCAGGTGGCAGGACAGGATGGCCGTGCCATGAGGCTGCTTCAGCTGGAGAAGGGGCCGAAAGGGGCTGGACCCGGGGGACGCTGCGCATGGAGCAACCCGGTCCACCGACCCGCAGGTCCGAGCCACTCCTGGGACCGACCCGCTGGGGCTGGGGGGGCTCCCCGGTGGCGGCAGCAGGCGGGGCCGGAGACTCGGGCAGCGTCACATGGCTGGAGAAGAGCAAACGCACTGCTTGCGCTTCAGAAAATGGAAAAAGTGATGTGGACAATGAGAGCCCTGTTAGCTGGAGTGCCCTGGCACATGGGCCCGGAGCACGTTCAGAGAAGGGGTTAGTACAGGCACGGGGGGGCCGCTTGGGCCGTGCTCCGGGGCTGGGTGCGGGAAGCGCTGAGGGACCGGGCAGACCTCGGCCGGGCATTTCACTGGGAAAGTCCGGGATGAGTGTCGGGAGCTGAGGACAGGCTGAGCTGCGGGGCAGAGGTGGGGGTGAGGGATGCCGGGGCCTGAGCAGAGGAAAGCCGTGACCTGAGAACAGAGAGCCGAGGTGGGCAGCGAGGTGGGTGTAAGGCAGAAATGGATGGTGAGGTTTGAGCAGGTTCAGAATCAACTGAAGAGCTGCGGGGAAGAGAACCCCACTGTCGGCTTTTAAGTAGAGAGTCTGAGGCAGCCAAGCTGGGGGTGGCAGAGTGGGGTCGCAGTAGGACGTCCTGCCCTGACATGGGGCACCTGCTCCCGCTGCTGTCGGGGTCCTGGGCTGGGGCACGTTTGTCCCAGCTTCACACAGCCCCGTGGCTCCCCCCCGATTCTGGCCATCCCGGTGCCCTGGGCAGGGCTGTGGGGCCGCCCCATGGCGCTCAGGGCTGGGGCTGGGACCGTCCTCACGCCATGCCGGTGACCCTGCCCGGTGCTGGCGGTCGTGCTGCCGGGGCTCCGAGGGGCCTGGGGGTCTGTGGGGATGGTACTTTGCTGCACAAAGCTCAAGCACTTTCTCGCAGGCCGTGTTCTGCTCCCCGGTCCTACGCGCCTTGTTCCTAAATGCACGGGCTTAAATTTCCCTCGTAGCCAAGGGTATGGGCTGTGTGGTGCTGTTCTACCAGGCTGTCCGGGTCTGTCCCCATCACAGCTGTGCACACTCCCACCCATTTCTGTCCTTGCAGGGCAGGACCTTTTCCCCCTCCAGAGAGGGTTTTGCTTTGCAAAGCATGTGATCCTCACCAGAAAGCCCCCTGAATGGTGACTTCCCCGTTGTAACCACATTTTAGTTCCAGCAGGTGACCAGTTTTAATCCACTTAGTAGAAGGTGCACTGATTTTGTTGAGTGCTAATTATTCATTAAAAGGTGGTGCAAGATGAATTGAATGCCTTCCAGTCTCAGCCTGTTATATCAACACAGTTACTCCAATTAACCAAACCTGTGATCTCATAAAAGGTCACACCAGCTTTCTGACACGGGCTATTTCTGCAGAACTGTGGAGATTGGCGTTAATTGTGCTGCTGCCCTTTAATGTTGTACTGACCCGTTGCAAAACAGCCTGAGCCTGCCTGCCATCCACGTCGGAGCTTTAGTCCTCGTGCACTTGCAGCTTCCCCAGTGTCCCAAGGTGTGTTACAGGTATCACTGGGAGGGCCCAGATTTGTCCGTTGCGGTAAGGGGTGTAGCTCTGAGTGGTATAGCTCTACAGTGCTTCGCTTGGGCAGGGGGATGACCCCTCGGTGACTGGTGGGTGGAATAAGAATTGGTTTATTACTGCTGTGAGATGGTGAACTCATCCCTTCGCTGTTTCCCCAGCAGAGCAGAGGTGTGGATGGAGTGGTCCTGCCCTGCCCCTGCAAGCCCCGAGACCCCCTTCTCTGAGCCGCTGGCAGGGCTGGGGTGGCCCTTTGTGCCTGCCCTCCTCTTTCTGCCGTAACGGGCTGATTATAAAAGGTTCAGCAAAGCGTTTCCCTGCTGCCTGCCCGCAAATATGCTTCCTGCTGGGCTTTGTTTTGTCCTCGCAGTGCCAAAGCAGGCAGCTGAGGTGTGGGGAGCCCGGAGCCAGCTCCCACCCACCCCAGGACTGCTGGCTGCCCTGGCCAGGGTGCATTCCTGAGTCCCCCATGGGCTGTGAGAGCAGAGAGCCAGACCTGGCGCTGATGTGATTGCCCTGAGGGTCACCACAGTGTCTCGAATTGGCCTGGACTGGTGGTGTCAGTCCTCTTGTTACCCCTCACCCTCTCTCTGCAGGCACTGGGCGCTCTCCCCAAGGCACTCGCTGCTCTCAGTGGCACTTCCAACGCGGCACGTGCCCGAAGCTGGGGCAGGCAGCAGGTCTGGGCCCCTTCAGGGTTTTTGTTGGTGTGATGGGCGTGGAAAGGGGCTGTCTCTGGCCACTGACCTGGCTTGTCCTTGCCTTGGGTCCAGGAGGCATTCCCAGAGGCTGGAGGGGTGACCTGGCCTCCATCATCTGGAACAGTGACCAGAGCAGGAGCAGGGCTGGTTCCCGCTAGCGGAGCCTCTGCCGAGCCCCTGACCCAGGTGCCGGCGGGGCAGTAGGTGCATCGTGACAGCCCCCAGCCCAGTGCTGGCGCTGTGGCCTGGAGAGGCTGTGCTGTCCGAGGGGGGGCTCCCCAGTGCCTTCTCTCTGTGAGGGGCCCCTTCCCAGAGCCGCTGCGGGGACCTTGCTGCCACCCTGCAGGTGCCAAGGGGCTGGAGCAAAGGGACAGTGCGCAGACAGGCCCTGGTCCAGGGAAAGGGGCTCCTATAGCCAGCACCCAAAGAGCAGCTGCAGTCCCCGAGGGTGCTCCGATACACCCCTGCGGTCCCCCCAGACTGACGCGGGGATGGAGGCTCGCGGGGTGCCAGGCAAGGCGGCGCTGCACCGTGGGGAGGGTCCCTGCGGCACAGCCCCGTGCTGGGAGCACCTGTGGGGTTCACATTTGTGTTCCTTCCTCTGTAACCCCGGAGCTGAACATTGGAGTCTTAAGTCACCCCTACTTGTGGGTAAACCAGACCTCGCTCTTTTTGACTAAGGTCTAACGACCAGCCCGATCTGTGTGCGCATGGCGTGTGGGGTCTGCTCTCGGGCTGGTGGATGTAGGATGCAGAGACGGATTTCTGGTGGGCCTGTCTGAGGGGTCCCAGATTTGGGGGTGTGCTTTCCCACCCATGGAGGGACTGGCTGGCTGGGTGACGTGATGCTGCGGTGGTGAGAGGCAGGTGGGTCCCCGGCAGCGCTGGGCATCGTTACTTTGCTGTCAAAAGTCAAAAGCACGGCCTGGAGCAAGAAATGCTGTTCCTGGGCTGCTGTGGCACCCGCAGGGTTAAAGTGGTCCCTGACGGGATAAACTGGAGTAGTGCTGGGAAGGGAAGGCAGTTCACAGAGAAGTGTTTTCACCATTGTTTGCTGATGGGACTGGTGCAGGAATACCACATCTCCCTCAGGTATTCAGGGAGCCGCAGATGTTATTGCAGGGCTGGAGAAACGCCGCATGGGGAGGAATGTGAAAGGCCCCGGCTGCCTCGCTCGCGGCTGGCAGCCCCTTGCTGCCGGCGGGCTTTGCACGGCTCGTGGTGGGTCAAGCTCCTGGCCAGCCCCGCCGGGCTTTCCCCAGGCTCTGGTCCTGTGCCAGCCCACTCTGCTCTGGCAGCCAGTCCCCCTCCCTCCCAGCGGGCTCTCCTGGGGGTGACACACACTCCTCTGCCCGTCGGCCCTCACTGCCTTTGGCACGGGAGATGCCACTCGGCGGCATGGTGGGGTGTTGGTGGCGGCCATTTGTGGAGGGGAACGAGGTACTGGGGGGGCCCTGGCCGACGTGCGGGCTGTGTGTGGGAGACACCGGGTGGGCAGCAAGGGTGGGCTGGCTCTGGCCGGGGACGAGACCCGCGGGTGTGCTGGTGCGGAGC